GTGTCACCCTGCCTTTTGTTTTGCAATGTAGTATTATTTAGCTACCAGCATATCTAAACACTGATCTTTTTTTAGTCACACCCATAAGACATCATGGAATTCAGGGAGTTGGCCAGAAAGTAAATGAATACAACTGAGTCAAAGATCTTTAAATCTTGTGGTACACCTGCAGTAGCAAACCAACCCAAACTTCTGTGATGTAACAAGTCAGGACTCCTCCAGTGTTTTGTATGGCTAAAACCAATTCCCATTATTCTGTTCACACTTAAGGTTAGCGGATTACCGACTCCAGATTTAAGCTGGCAACTGAATGGAAGACCAATTCGCCCTGATAGTTCTCACAAAATGCTGGTGCGTGAGAATGGTGTGCACTCCTTGATCATAGAGCCAGTCACAGCCAGAGATGCGGGAATCTACACATGCATCGCCAGCAATCGGGCTGGTGAGAACACATTCAGCCTGGAGCTCATTGTTGCAGGTAACATCTTCACACTAAGCTTCCACCCTGAGAACTGTAAGAGTACCACCACACAGGACAGTTTAAGTGCTGTCAAGCGACATGGCTGAGGGGTAGTGGGCCAAGAAAAGGAAACCTGTTAGTAACAGAAGTTACATTTATAGGTGATAGAGTTTATGTTATGTAGTGGCATAAGCTGACAGCCACATAAGTCCTGGGCACACAGTTAAGGGATCTGCTGTCCTGAGGCACAGCAGGGACCACAAACCAGGCTATTTGCATGAATGGGTTTTCAAAAGCAATTTGTGCAAACCCGTATCTACCAGTACCATATGATTTGAGTGTTTCATAGCATATTAGACTGCCATTCCAGCCTTCAGGTAGACCAGTCCTTTCTATAATTAAAAGCTGTCCCTCTAGGGAGTATGAAGGAGCACTGCTTAACAAGCAGAGAGCAGCCAGTTTATCTGATCTTCACACCCCATATTTCAACTATTTTGGGGAAGGAGGGAACTACTTTCCCCTATTACAATCCTGATCTGACTGTTCCCTTCAGATGAACAGGACTGGACTTTGTGATTAATGAAGACAACACTTCAGTTTCATGCCACTTAGATCTTTCATTATTGATTTTAGCATGGTGCTGGAAGAAGAGCTGCACTGTCACAGACTAGTGTCAACATGACACTGTCTTTGTTTTCACAGCTAAGGAAGTACAGAAAGCACCTGTGTTTATAGAGAAGCTACAGAACACGGGTGTGACTGAGGGATTCCCAGTGCGGCTGGAGTGCCGGATCTCGGGGGAGCCGTCTCCTCAGATATTTTGGAAGAAGGAGAATGAGTCACTCACATACAACACTGACCGAGTGAGGTGAGACTGCCTTACAACCATGTCCCCATGTAAAACTCCAATGGTGACCTATCCTGTAAAACAAATGAAAACCTAGAAGGCTGTAAGAACGCTCTGTGAAGAGCATCTCATAAACATTAACCTAGATATTGTAATAATTTATGACATTTACTCAGACTTGCAGCCAGCTTGGTGGGCGAGCTGGAATTAAAATGTTAGTTCTGTTTTCATCCTTGGAATTAAACAACTATCTTTTCACTTTAAGCAAGTGGAGAAGTAGTTTTTATCTTCTAGAACTAAGACTTCTAGCAATGTCCTGGTGAAAACCTAGGCTCCTAAGGAAGGCTGTCTGCTTCGCAGCAGAAACCTTGATTCCTAACTGTTGCGGAGCTAAGCAACTAAGGTTCAGTATGTTATACTGAGATCTATAAACTTGTCTTTGATATTAGTAACATCTGTAGGAATTTTTGAAAGCAAACTGATGACACATTTTAAGAAAAGGAATCCATCCCTGATAGAACACTAGTAAGTTATTGCTGCCCTTCTAAGTAACTGAGAGCATTTCAGTACCTCATTCCTTGAGGTTTTTTTATCCTCTTCCCAAAGAGTTCTGGTGTCCCTATGACTTAAATTAGATTTCTGGATTTCTTAACCTGTGATTGTGAAAGAGAAGTTACTTTATGCATCTTTGCTTCTTAGTCTTCAGTGCAGGATATTAAGCTGCCAGATTGTCAACCACTAGCTAATTTCAGACAAAGTTTCACATTAACTTAAAGTGGACAATATTTAATCTGTAACTAGGACTGGGTCAGTTTATAATGACATTTTAAAGTAGTCTAAACTTGTATGCAATTTAAATACTAATTTTCTCATTTTCTTTTGTTTAGCATGCACCAGGATAACTATGGCTACATATGCCTGCTTATTCAGGGAGCTACAAAGGAGGATGCTGGCTGGTACACATGTTCAGCTAAGAATGAGGCTGGGATTGTGTCATGCACTGCCAGGTTGGATGTTTATAGTAAGTGACTTCTGTCTTTGTGATCACAGTAGCTACCCTAAAAGCAGCAGTTGTGTAAGTTTCAGTTTGTTCGCAGAATGGTTTACCTTGGTCTCTCTTTCTTTTGTTTATAGTTTCTCCTCAATAATAACGATCCACATCAAGACAACCAATGCTCTGTCAAAGTATATTTCAGAATCTTCCAGATACCTGAAGCAAAACAAGCATGCATGCTTTCTGTCTTTGCTTAGTATATTAAGTAGAGCTACTTAACAACAGATAACAGCATGCTTATGTTATTTCTGTGGATCATTATTACTATTGCTCTGCTACCACTTTCCTAACCTTTTTTATTCCTTTGTACATCAGTCTGTAATACACACATGACAACCACCGGAAATGTAGATGTTTTTATGGCTTTCTGCTTCATTACTCAGTTTGTTCCAAAGCAGCCCCTCACACACTGAATGTTTTCTCTTACCAGTGTTTTCATAACAAGAATAAGGAAGGGAGGGAGGGGGAAGACAGGAATGGTGAAGGATGGGTTTTGATGGTGGTGGGGTTGTAATGGGACTTGTGAAGAGGCGACCTGACTCAGCATGTTTCAGCATACAAGGGCTGGCAGTGGCATCCAAGTTCTTTCCTTTTATATACAACAAATAATCCTTGAACACACCTGTCACTGGAATACGAGTGCACGGAAACAACCCCCTTTCTGTTATCCTTCCCAGTGACACGAGGAAAGGTAGAAGCAATGCCAAAAGTACCAAGTAACAAACACAGGCACTATTGTTTTTACATACCGTGTTTGAAGGTGAAACCAGATGCTGAGGTTTAAAACAACCTATACTAAGAAATGAAACAAACTCGCCTCTGATACAGTGGTTTTCGGCTGCTCATAAATTAGTATCTCCTTTACAAAGGGTGGATCTGGGACACTTCGTTGTCCAGCTCAAGATGGCTAACATTTTTTGTTTCCTTTTAAATCTGTAGCTCAGTGGCAACAACCATCTCAAACGACCAAGCCAAAGAAGGTGCGGCCTTCAGCTAGCAGATACGCTGCACTGTGTGACCAAGGACTAGACATCAAAGCAGCTTTCCAGCCTGAAGCAAATCCAGTCCACCTGACAATGCAGTCTGGCTTGGTAGAGAGCGATGACCTGTAGATTCAACCACCACTTCCATCATTTTCTTTCAAAGCAGAAACACTGAAAGCCACTGCCTTGACCAATGATACTCCTATGTCACTTTATGCAAAGGCAGACACCTTCAAGTACAAAAGATAAACAACAAACACAATAAGCATATATTTCTTATTCATTATACCAAATTAGAATAGGTAGATTATTAATGGAATTGTACACACTGCACAACAAATCACATTCACCCGTTCCTTATACCTAAGTTGCTTCAGCTCTTACAAATAACCCTTTTCATAAAGGCCAAAATACATCAGAGAGTCAGATTTTTTCAGACGAGAACACTGTTTATCACTACATGCCTTCATAAGCAGTAAGTAGATGTTACACAACCTTAATGGTGCAAGATGTTTTACTTGAGGCCGTTTGATCACAAAGAAAATCAGAATGTGTGGTTGCTGACAGTTCTAAACTAGCACTGCACTCTGATAGCTACAGTGAACAAGTGCAATATTATTGTAAGAGTAAACCAGGAAGGGACAAGAAAGAGACACACAAGCAGATGCTGTGTCTCTGCAAACTGCTTTCTAGTCTACAAGGAAAAAAATATTTTGCCTTAAACACTGTTAGTGTGGACAATTCTGTACAGCAGCATCAACACTGCAGTTTTAAGTTCTTCTCTGTTTTTGATTTTACCATTCAGGAGGAGGCTTACTTACAAGCACACAGCCAAGACAGGTCAAGCATAAGTAATTTAACAGCTTAGAGGTAACAAAGAGCTGACAGGTAATAACAGTCTCCTCCAAACTACGACTGTTGGTAACTAGATGGGGAAAACATGCTGTCAGTATGACCCACTGCAGTGGCTTACTGCAGGGGGTGGGAGGGGGACAGGGCAGAGGCTGAAACTCTGTGCATTTCCTGAACACAGCCTGTAACCTTGTAATGCTCCCATTCCCAAATTGGAATTTCTGAGGGGAGCTGGATCCTAGGGAGTGTATGTGTGGGATGTTCGACTGTTTAAAGCTTGTGTGATGTGCCTGAGGATTTTAGAAATGTATAGTAAGTGAAAAATGGGTTGAGACTGCAATATGAATTTAAATGACAAGTATACACCACAGAGCGTGCAGATCTGAGGAAGTAGAACATGAAGATGGACAAAACCAACATCAAATTCGTGCCTTTTTTTCCCCCTTAACTTAGCACGTGTCTCTGGTAGGTTTTTTTCCTTCTCCTGTCATTTTCCTGTAGCCTTTTTACTGGGTAGAGTCTGTGCGCCGTAGGTGAAAAGCCTGAAGGCTGCATTCAGAAAGCAAGGCAAACCCACCTGAACTGGAGCCCCACCTAAGTCAGATGTGACTTGGTAGTTTTAAAGTGGAAGCAAATGAATTTCAGAGGAAGGGGAGAGAAGGATGGAAGAATTACTAGGCCTGACAAGGAAAACAAGCATGTGATGGTACGAGCTACAATACTTTGCTATGAAAGGAAAACACTGTATTCCTTATATGAAGCACATATATGGTATCTTCCATTATTTATAATAAAAGTGTTGAAATCTTTTATCTCAGTTCAGTTATTCAGAAGTCCTGTACTTAGGGGTTTTGTTTTTTTAATTCTGTAATTGTGTACACCATATACTGCATTACTGCTATACGTGTATTGCTTTGTAAGTACACAAAGTTTGTGTTGTGTTTTAGTGGCTAATAAACGTTAGCACATACGGTAGTACAATTCTGGTGCAGGATATGACCAGTTTTGGGGATCGTTAATCTAGATTAACGTCATAGTCTGTCATCTGGGAGTAACTGATTCTATTCTAGAGGAAGTATGTCATATCATTTGCCAAATTCTTCTCGACTGTGACATGCCAACTGACTTTTTTGTTTCGCTTCACTAGCATTATTTTGCCACCTTTTATTTGTATTTATAAAAAATGTATTATCATTACTTTGGATTGTTGTGCTGACATAATGTGGGTTTAACATCAATAAATATTACACAAATAGAAAGGTTTCCTCTGGTAAAGGCTATTAACTGTCTCAGTACAAGACATTTTAAATATTATCATACAGACACAGCACCAAGAAATTACCAGAATTTATCAGAACACTGGTTGTGACCCAGAATCTTGTTTAAACAAGATAAATTCTGAGAAACCTTTGCCCAGTGAAAGCACTTGAAGATGCTTTTTGCAATAGGTTAGAAAAGATGCAGGTCTATTCTGTGTGTCCAGAAATTGCAATATGACATCACTCACAAGTAAGGGCATACGCCGAATGCAGCTAAATTTAGTCCTCTAACAAGGCAATATCAAAATGAAAACCATAAAAAGTTAAGATTTACTTGTAAAACCCTGAATATTGACTCGCTTCCCCTTTCTGCGCAAAGATAGCATGAAAGATGCAAGATAGATAATACTTTTTTTTTTTTAGGCTTGGATTTCAAGCATTGATCACTACAACCAGAATTCTCTCAGCACTTAAGTGAGTACTGACATTATGGGTGATCCTGCAGCTGAAGGCAGTGGAGCCCTGTCTGCTTACAGTGAATTTGTCTTTGGCCCAGAGATTAAAAAGCTGGGACTGCTCTTGTGAGCTGGCTGAAGATGATGAGGTCATCATCACATTTTGCCTCTGTATATATGTACAGACACACTTAAGTAGTAAATCACATCTCTAAGCAGCAAAGTTGTTTTTATGGAAACATTCAGCTGTACTGTTACTTAGTTACTGGGACTGTTTGGGTTTACAAATTCAGAGATAGAAGCGTGGCACAAGAAAATGACATGCTTTCCAAGCCAGAAATCTGAAATTCTTGGAAGCATCAAAGTAACGTTCAGAAGTTTAATCTCTCTCCACCAATTCCAAAGATAGACAGTATGACCTGAAAGCGTACTTCATCATTTTATAGGACCAAAAAAAGAAGTCCTAGCTTTGTGCAAGACTTCAAATTATTTAGGAAGCTCATCACTCCAAGCACATTCAGAGCAATGGAGGAGTCAGTGCAACTCCATTCAGGATGATGACAGACGCTTCTGTCAAGATGATTACTAACAGTGAGGTGCAAAATTCCACATGCATGAGGGTTTTTCAGCTGGTAGTGTTACTTAACACACAACACCTTTATCTTGCACCTTCACAACAGCTGCACCCTTTAGTTAACATACACCATCTTTTTCCATCACCACCCACTGGCTGTTGGGGACCAAAACCTAGTATAGTCCAGTTTGAAACCCTACCTTATACATCATAGCTGCTTTCTGTATTGCAATTAGCTTGTATTTAATAAACACCTTGATTCTCCACATGTGGGCAACTACATCCTTATCTGTGCAAGAAGCCCAAAGAGATTTAATACATAAGCAAGTACTTCATGAGCTCGTATTACCCATCATGTCATGATGCTGAGGGGATGGCTGCATGTTCTGGCTGTCTGACACAGCTGCCAAGCCCACGTGGTACAGTAGAGAGGGACTGGAAACGCCTGCTCAATCATGCCCGTTGGTGACAGACCTGATTCACAACTCCGATGTACATGCAAGAGGCAGGATTTGCTGAGATGTAGCTCCCTTTCTCCTGAACCAGCTAAAAGAAAAAATCCCTCCCCCTGCACAGTTTCTCTGTCTAAACCCAACTGAGCACACAAGACACATGAGGTAGATGAGAACACAGCTCCTGCCCCAAGCAATTTACAGTCTGTTCCAGCCAGCACACTGTATTCTTTCAAATGTCTTAAAGCTTGTAACTTTAATTCTGAACTAAAGACACAGTTCGCACCCTTTTACAGAAGTGATTAATACATTAATTAATCTCATCTGCACTGAACCTCTAATAAAATAGCAAGTGTTTGGAACCTAACACTGAGCAAAAATGCCAGGCTCCAAGCAACAGTACCTGTGCTCAGTGATTTCAGCAGCTATATGGTGGATGAAGAGTAAGGAACTTCAGCCCAACACCATCAAGAATCAGAAATGTCTGCTTTGTAAAACTGCAGTGCAACAGGTAAACCCTGGGGAAGGGTCAGGTCTCACTACCACTGTCACTTTCTGGTTCTGTAGTACCATAAATGGGCCAGAGGCAGCTGCAGAATGAGAAAGGAGAAAAACATAACAGCACATGGACACTGCTCAGAATGATTACACTGCTTACGGCAGGAACTCGGCAACTAAGAGGACTGGGGTGGCCTCACACTAAGAGGACTGGGGTGGCCTTTTTTTCACCTGATCGGTTCTGTTTTACACACACAACAAAACATACCCTCAAGTCTCTTTTTGGCCAACTCTTGGCCCAGACATCACAGAGCATTTCTACAGAGAACCACAAGTACAAAACTACAATGTCAAAGACAGGATCTTTCCTAGCTGCTGCAAAAGGTGGTGAAAATACCTCGGAACACTTCCCATACAGCAGACTACACACCTTGCTTTTATTGCAGACTGAGAACTAGTGGATTTTAGGTACGGCTTTTACCTGCAACACTTGTCTGAGTATCTCTTGCAGTCATTGTGGAAAGGGCCTGCCTAAAAGAAAACCCTGCACTACTCTATAGTATAATGGACTACTCTGGTTTTATTACTGCATTAGCTCACTTCCTTCTACAACACTTCAGAATCAGATTCACAGAACATTTTTGTAATAAAGCCACAATAAACGTTTTATTAAATTCTGTATTAACCTCAGCTGTACAATCTCTGACTGATTACTAATTCATGTTTATTCTATATATGTTATTGTAGAGTAAACAAAAACCTAAAATCAAATGTAATTCTATCAGCGCAATTGTTAGTCAATCCAGTGAGGTCAAACTGTACGTGACTTATGTCATTTCAGGTATGGAACAACAGCAGCCCCCAACAATTTCAGTTTGTAAATGTCCAGAACCACTTTCCACTAGGCAAAAGGCACCACGCTGCCAATAGAAGCAAGGATTTAACAGAAAACTTAGCAAACAGCTTTGCAAAACTGTGTTGTAAATTAACCTCACTAATATTTACAGACCAACTGAATATGGCTTCACTGCGGAGCAGAAAGCTTAGCGTAAGCTCCACTTGGTGCTGTGAAAATGATGGTGAACTATAAACCACAGGTGCTCTCTGTTCTATATGCCTTCCAACAAAGAGCTACAAGAACCTGCAGAGAACAGATGCAGTTCCAGTCTACTGCTGCAAGAGACATCTCACCATCTAAAATCATATGTGCACACTAAATGGCACCTACACAAACCCAGGCAATATCTATATTGTTTCATAGGCCTGCAGGAAATGTTCAGTAGAAATCTACCAACTACCTGAAAAAATAGGCTAAAAACTCAGACCAACAGCATCAGGAATTGAAGCACTGCAACTTCAAGCTTTTAACAAGTCTTCAGCATATAGGCAGAGATTTCTTTACAATACAGCCTCCAACATACAAGTGCAACATGTACTTTTAGCACATTTAGCATTAGAAGTACAGTGCAGGGTGATGTGCAAAGAAGAATTCATAAAACATCAAACCGCTTCCCTGCCACGCTTCAGCAGTACCATATAACCAGCTTGCAGCTATTCCTAAACAAATTGTTCCAAAATAACACAGCAATTCCAAACCTGCCAACATGCCAGCCCATCTCAGCAGTGTCAGCCCCACTGTGAGCAAGGGGAGTGACATCCACACAGCTCCTCTGGCTCAGAGTTAGCTCAGTGACATCTGCTCCCACTGACATTATCCCAATGTGCATATGATGATAGTAAGGTTCAGTAGCTTTTACCTGTATATTGTCTTAACGTGTTTGACATCATCATACCCAAATTGGCAATTTCTTACCAGATTCAAGTAGGATTTTGATTTTACAAAACTGGTAACAACAACGCCAGCCATCAATTTTGTATCTACACAGGCACTTCCCTGAAACTATAGAGATACACTAACCAACTCATTACCGATGTAGCAATGCCTTAGGATAGACTGCCCTCAGGAGGCCAGAATGAAGTCTCTTCATGGGTTTAACATTCACTCAGCACACGGTAACTCAGCAAAGTTTATATGCTTGTGTTACCATAAAGGAAAGTCTGCAGAAGCTGTCCCCCACAACAGCTCCTACTCATAGCTGCAATATTTAAAGAACAAACAAGCAAACAATCCAACCCCCACCAGCAGTCTGTGTTCTGCTAGAAATTTCTACTGATGATAATCATAGAATCACAGACTTGTCTGGATTGGAAGGAGCCCAAAAGATCACCTGGTTCCAACCCCCTCTCATGAGCAGGGACACCTTCCACAAGACCAGGCTGCTCGAGGCCCCATCCAGTCCATGAGTTGCAATATATGCCTCAGAAGCAGGAAAAGACTAAAACAGTGAGTTCGCTACAGCAAGTTATAAACTACAAACACATTTCTTGAGAGAAAAGCAGCAGGATGGCTCCAATGATCTATCTAGGAGAAAGGAAGCATGAGAGCAGTCCATCATCTTCCCAAACACTAGAAAAATGCAAAGAAGAAATACAAAACAATAAACTTTCCAGGCCTACAGTGTGCTCCAACTAAAGCCCAGAACATGCAAATCCCACTATTTACGAAGTTTAAACTGAATCAAACGTCAAGTCAACAGAACGGTTTTAAGTTTCCTAACCTGGCAGTGACAAGGCAAGGCACATAAGTGGGTAAATACCACAACACACAGTCTTTTAGCAAGCATTTCACTTCTGAAGCAGGAATCCAGCTGAGTTAAAAAAACCCAAATCAGTAATTCTAGATGAATCAGAATGGGGGCTGCTGTACAAGAGGACTGTGAGCTGAATTAAATGACAGCTGCAGAAGTAGCCACCCTCAAAACATGCCTTGGTGACCTCTCCAGAAATTCTGGGAGATGGTGAAAGGGAACATAGGTACCATTGTGGGGCAGGAGAAAAGATCTGGAATAAAATGTGGACTAAGTTAAAGACCAGACCTGGGTAGCAGCTTTCTTTAAAATGCTCCTAAAGGCAGATGATGAAGTTTCAATGCAAGCCTGAAAACAGCTGTAGGAAGAGGGGTATGGATTCTTTAGGAACTGCAGAAACATGTAGTGGGAGTTTGTAAAACAGTTAATTCTAAACAACAACAAGAAGAAAGTAGGAAGATGTATTTAAGAAGAGATTATAGGAATTTTAAGCAAGATAGCACATGAAGAAACATCAGATGAGTAAGAGCACATGCTCTCACTTCCACTAGGAGTGGAATCACAGGAACTCTGTATGTCTATTAAGAGAGTGGACTGAAGTTTCCCAAACTCAATTGAGAAACAATGGTAAGCCAGTCAAGCATACAGCACTACTCAGGAGCACCCACATGGAAAAAAAACAACCTCAAACCATTCCTATGTAACTTGGCCTACATGCTAGCAGCGCAAGACCTGTTTCTAAATCAAGGAGTGACATAATAGGCATACCCGAAACATGATGGGAGCAAGACAAATAAGCAAGACATTGATACAAAATACACAGGAAAGTCATAATACTAAATATCAATATATTAGCTCATTGGATCATGTATGGATTCCATTTCCAGGCCCTATAATGTAAACTCTGCTGTTAGACAATATTATTAGCCACACATCAGGATGATGGCAGTAGCTATGACATCCAAGGTCTGTAAGGCTAGCAGTGTAACCACCATGAAAGACAACACTTACCAGGAGGTTGGATACATGTCACGCTGAACAGGCCAGGATTGATTTGTTAACATACTTTTTCCCTGCAGCTGATCAGGATCACCCACCTCTGGCTGAGTCAAGGTGCTGTTTTCAAAGACTGGCTTTGGGTGGTTCTATTTCTGCAAGAATATTGACCAAGTTTACTAAACTTCCATAAAAAGGAACATCATAAAATAAGGAAATATGCTAACATGAAACCAAACAGACAAGTCAAACACTAAGATGCAATGCTTGATGACAACACTGAGATTGTACACCCCGAATGTCAGTGTGACTCAATACATGCACTGAACTGATCTGGCTTTGTGGGGAGAGGGAAGCTGACTTGGATTAAAACCTACCAGAATTTAAAAGCCAGCCTTTGTAAAACCAGTTGTCCAGCTTTTGCACTCAAATGGAACTGGTCACTGAATGTAAAATTTATAGGCAGATCAGCATATACAGGAACAATCTACAAATGTGCATTCACACCCAAACACTGCCCCAGGAACAGGAACCTGCCTAATGAGGCAAGGAGATGATCAAAATAAAAAGCAAAGTGTTCAGGGAAGGCCACAGAGAAAAAAAAATCCCCAAACTCTGAACAAAACCTGGAATCAGAGTTTGGTGCCATGCGGATCTTGATGAAGGGTTTACTCCTCAGAGCAAAACACCAGCAGAGTTACAGAGGAAGAGTGACAAATGGCCAGGGCTGGGGACTATCACTCCCTAATTCTAAAGGAAACTTCTGGGTTAAAACTGCCTCATTATCAAATGACTGGAAAATGGGAAAAGTGACAGCAAGCTTTTGGGAGTTTAGTGGGTGGAATGATCACCTGTTTTTTCAGAAGAGATCCCAGAGGGATGCAGGAATCGACAGACTAATTGTATTTTTCTGTACTTGGCAAACTGCCAGAAATTGTTCTAAAGCCATAAAAACAAGTGGGTAAACATACCTAGGAAAGTCAGAGTTGCTTTGAAAAGGCAAGTAATGTTTGATAAACATTTTAGAGTTCTTCTGAAGACTAAAAAGAGATGAGAGTAAGCAAATCTAATACAGCACGCTTAAAATCCTGAAAGACATCTGACATATTCCCTTGCTAAAAACCATTAAAGATGCAGGGATGCCAAAAAGAAGGAGCTGTTGCATCAGTAAACTGTTTAAAGATAGAAAAGAAAGGGTGTGAATCAGCAGTCATTCTTTCCTAAGGACATGGACTGCCAACAGACCACCACAACTTTGCTGGGGCTAGCAAAGTACAACCTATTCATAAGGGTTGTGAGACAGCAAACTCTGAAGCCCACAGTACATGCCAGTAGCACAAAGTTACTCAAAGTAATAAGGGGATGAAGGAATTAAACAAAATAATTGCAGAACTAAGGAAATTGGTGTCAAAACCAGCAGACTAAATTCACTGTAGATAGATGAGAACAATTCACACTGGGGAAATACAAAAAAATCAGACCTAAATACATAGGTAAGGAAACAGACTCAGGACTGAGTTACTGTTCTTATATAGCTTCTGAAAATGTAAGTGTAAAGGTTAGGAAAAGGCAAAACAACTAGGCATTATTTTTGGAAGCAATATAAAACAAAACATAGAACATCCTATGGTTTGTTGGTTTATATTCTTTTTTAATAAATTCAGGTTTTAATCACACATATAAACTAAAAACGTCATTGCAAATAACTTACTTAACATTCCCTTACTCAACAAAACAAGGGATAATAAGAATTAGGGTCAGAACTCACTATGAGGAAATTATTTCTAGCTTCTTACCTTTGGCTTCTGGTCAACACGTGTCACACAGGCTTTGCTTACAACATACTAAAGAGAGGTATGGGCAGCAGCCAAGTTACTGACATATTACCACTCAACTAGTAAAAACACGAGTACCAGCTGTCTTTCCCCACCTTTTTCTGAAGGCACCTCCAGTGCCTTTCAAAAAGAATCCATCTATTCTCTAACCAATTCTTTCTATTAAAGAGAAATATAATTAGCAATTATATTCTTGGTGCAAAGACATCTTTGTGTCGGCAAATAACATCAGCAACAAACACCACCTCTCTACAAAGAGATAACAAGAAGATAAGGACTGCTGGAAGGACTACCTTAGCAGTATTTTATATTCCAAGGTAGTAACACAACCAACTGTAAAATCCCCTGAAAACACAACCATTCCTTATACTATTTCTCAATACATACCTGTGAGAAGCTTGAACATGCACTGTTTTCTGGCCCAAAGACAAGATTTCTCAGCTGCACAAAGGAAGAAAATCTCAGACTTTAAAGAGACACAAAGTTATCATCAATGATATCTCTTCTTTCTGTACTTTGGCTTGTGCCAAGATGGGAAGCAATTTCAAAACCTGAATCAACACCTGGATCGTCATGCAATGAACACTGGGGCTAAGAAGTGAAGGTCCTAAACCACATTCATAGTTTTCTTCAGAGATGATGAAAGCATCAATTATCAAAAATTACTTGGTCTCAATAGAAAAGCCTGAGGTCAACTTTTTGGTGATTTTTCAGGAAGAGGGAAACAGTCAGGATCATTTCCAGCTGAATAATTACTCTGCTTCAAAAGCTGTTTTGAATAAAATAAATGGCTATTTTATTGACTGTACATACATATTAAAAAGCATCAACACAACAGTTGAGCTGAGTGTTCAAGAAGATACACAGCAAAATACCTTAACTCCACACTTTGGAAGTGATACGTGTTTTCTAAACATCCTGAGTCACTGAAAATCCTTTTGTGCAGCAAGGTCTGCAGCTGTATTGCTCACACCAGTGCACGTACAGATCAAACTCAGAATATTACAGAAATCAGCAACTCCAGCAACCAAGCAACAGTCCTTCAACATACACACACACACACACACAAGTGCTACTGGACTGAGTGCTGTACACATTCAAGAAAGGAACTAAGCAGGTTTTGTCTTTATAAAAGCATACTGCATATAATTAGATGTCCTAAAGGCAATGCAGGTATACTTAAGAACCAGAAGCTCACAGCTTTGTAGTGTTAGCTACAAACAAAAACCCAAAGGAAACTTTGTAGGGACTAGCTGAAGAGAATAAAAATGTATGCCATTTGCAGTCTTTGCCCTACATGAAGAACTTGATGCAATCATATGTGCCAACCAATAAACATGCCTCCACACTTTATTAACTTTAGTGTAACATGATCATTTGAAGAAAACCTCCACTTTATCCCAAATTCAGAACATGACTTCATGAAAATATAGTGCTTTAAAAAAGTATCAGCATGTTACTTAAAACTATCACCATAGCAAAAACCAGATCTTTTTCAAATTGTTAGATACACAGTTGCCTTGTGAAATCCTCACAGAACTTTCTTTGCAGGCTCTCTCCTTTTACTGCACACACAGACTTCATAATACCAAATGAACTCTTTCAGGTAGCTGAATATACACACTGGACTTTAACACTGCTGAATTTCTCTTCTGGCTAAGTAATGTCAAGTCAATTACATACATCAATCTTCAACTAATTTTCACCCCTCTCCCTTTGATCAATATATATACATATATTACCAAAGTCAGTACTTATTGAAGGTAGTACTTAAGTCATAAGCTGCAAGCCCCCATCTACAACTAGAATACTCCCTGTAACATAGGGGGTCTCCAGAAGAAAGACAACAGCTTGTGCAACTTCATGAGGCTCTCCAAATCTTCCAAGGAGAATTGCTTGCTTCAACTGATCTTCTTCCAAATGAGCAGTCATCTCTGTGTGAATAAAGCCTACGAGAGAAGAGATATTTGAAGAGTTACCTAACCTTAAACTAAAATTCTTTAGTGCATTTTCCCCAGAATGCTTCGAAGTGAAATGTACCACCAGGATTCAGCACCAGCTACCATTCTTCAAAGTCAATCCACATCATTTAATGGCTAAGACCAGTTTTTTATCTAACTATTAAAATGTCTTCTGGTTTTGGGAGCACTGATGTAATAATCAAAAAACACAGATCTATAAAAGTCTTTTGGTTTAGGGGTTTGGGTTTTTTGTTTTGTTTAAAAATGGGTAACTAAAATTGGGTCCCAAGCCCATATTTAGTATCACTTTTCTGAAAGATAAAATACACTCATTTCACCACAACATTCTCAATAAAAACACAAGTATGGAATCTCTGGAAAAAAACCCAAACAAACCTACAGCTTGCAAGTGTTTCCGTTACATTTTAGAACTTACAACAGCATTTGAATGATTTCTATTATAGCACTCATTTGAAGAATATTTCTTGACATTTTTAAAGGACATTTCTGTCCTTTAAACTTTCAGTTACCTGAGATTCAGTTTTCCGCCTGCTGCACTTCTCTTCATGTAAGCTGCAGCTACATAAAGAGGTGATTTTACCTGCTTTCTAGCTGCCACCAAGAAGGTAAAGTCTCCATTTTGCTTTCCACTGCACAACTCTGCCCCTTTATGATGGCTCTGGACCCTTCAGTGAGCTGCTCAACTCACTAAACAATGAAGAATTATTCCTGCCTAGTACACAAGCTAACCTGCTTTATGTAGCGGTCTGAAAGGCATCAGAGGTAGCGCAAGGCAAGCAGCAGAATACACACCTATGAGTGGAAAAAGTCAGAAAAGACAGAAAAGGTTTTTCCTTATGGGTGGCAGTTTGCTTTGACTTGATCACCTTGTGAAACCACAGCCTTGTCCTCACAGAACTTTCTTTCCAGACTCTCTCCTTTCACTACAGGGAGAGACAGGGATGCTTCCATGCCAGCTTCTCATGGTCTTTCAAGTTTCTCTAATAACGTATAAGCATTCTCTAGCAGGAGATGAAGGCAGCTGTCTATAATTAGTTCTAATCCTTCCATTGGCAAGGACGGCAGGTTTTGAAGGAGGAACAAAGAAAAAAGACATTTATTGTGTAATAATGGATAGACGAACAGGTAAACACTCTTCCAAATTTCTCAGTGTTCCCTTAAAAAGACTGAGGGTTTTGTAAAATAATGTATTATGCTTTAAACTTATAACAATACATTAAAAACATTTGTTTTCAAAAGTTGACAAAAATAATAGCGATTTCTCTTAAGTTACTTTCAGAGTACAGCAAATATCCAGAAGTCTTGATGTAAGGAAACAGCCAAGGATGTAGGAATCAACCAAAACTTACCTGGAGCAACCACATTGACTCGAATTTGCTTTTTCGCTACTTCTTTAGCAAGGGATCGTGAAAATCCAACTAATCCTGCTTTGGTAGCACTATAGACACTTTGACCAGAGTTGCCTTTAAGTCCTACAACACTGCCTAGAAATAAACATCAAAGAGAAGATTAAATTACTAATTTGAAATCTTGTACTAGATCCATCATTTTAGTTTTATATTTGGAATGGAAAATGAGATTACACGAAAAGGAATTAAAAGTACATTACTAAATGTACTTTATAGCCTACTGCTGGGGTAAGCAAATCCCTCAATTATCTGTGATTTTTGTGGAATCCATATATCTTACGCTGACAAACAGGCACCAGGAGAGGAAGATGAAAAGCTTCCTAAAAAATATCCTTGCACAGGAGAAAAAAAAACAAAACAGAAAGAAACCAACTGTACCTATTTGACTCTTAGCTACTGACCAGCAGCTGGCAGATTAAGCTATTGAAAGAGATGATAAAGAATGGTAACATTTTTTTTTTTATTCAATAAAACTTAATCTCTGAGGCATTTACTACTGAAACAAGATGGTTTTACATTTAGAAGTTGCTGAAATTACACAAAAGAATAAGCATTCATAAAGAAATGCTAAATACAGAATGTCTAATTACAAAGAAAATAAGTCAATTGCAACAAGTGTCATTTCAATATGTTACACCTGCTAAGCCTTCCTAGAAAACTAGTTCATAGAATTCCACTTGGTTAGATAAGGAACTTACCTATATTGACAATAGCACCTCCCTGTTGCTGAATCATGTTTTTTACAGCAGCTTTGCATGTCAACATTGTTCCCAAAAGGTTAGTGTTAATCTGGGCTACCATATCTTCAGTCTTGGTTCTCAGTAACAAACCATCCCTGACAAACAGACAAAGGAAATCCAGAAATAACTCACTGTGCAACCCCAATGATCACATTTACTCATAATAAAATATGACTGATGGAGTATCAATGGGGATTTATATGGTTCTATACATTCTAGCATTCAAAACTGTGACACTGCAAGAAAAAAGCTAGCTTTGCTTCTGGTAACAAAGCCTCCTTTGCAGAGAGGTATCAAACATTGTTTTGGATTATTTCAGGGGGAAGAAGGGGAAGAAGGAAGAATTGAGGGGGAACTCAAACTCAATGCAGAAACTACAGTGAAACTTGTATCTTAGATGTCATTACTGTCATCAGGAACAAAACATCAGTGAGCACTTCATGCTGTTTTCAGATGTACTCATTAACAACACATTACGTGCAAAGGTCCTTAGCACTTTACAATAAGAAGCTGTCATCCAGAGTTACATATAATCTT